TCAATGATAATGGTGGCGGCTGTGTGGTCATTGTGTCTGTTTTGCTCAGAAACCCAAAAGTGAGACCCTTCACCCATCTTCCTTCCCGGGACTCAGTTTCCTCATTTATATATAATTTGCCTGGCTCACAATGTTATTGTGGAAATCAAATGAAACAATACGTATGAGAGAGAAAGGGCAAAAGTTCTCTTCATGATGTAAAATTCTATTAATATTATTTTAGCCTAGGTCTTAATTGAATAATGAAACTTTCAAATTTATTCTGAAGTGATTAAATGTTGAAGAGTCTGATTTGTAGGGTTGATTTTAAAAATACATATAACAGAAACATATTTATGGCAAAGGATATTGTTCATAATAGTCATTTATAAATACTAGCAGAAAAGAAGTTATATAATGTAAATGTAACCATATAATCATAGTATAAACTTTATAGGTGTGAGTGATTTTGATGAATATATGAAAATATTTCCATCAATGAGAATAATTAACCCACAATTCTACAATGGATGAGGGATATTTACCTAAGGTGTTCATAAGATGATATAATTTAATGTTAAACTTATTGAGAAAGTAGGAAATTTAAAATGTCACCTTCCTAAATAGTTCTACATATGCTCTATGTTTGATAAAAGATATTGAGAGACAACTCTCATTGGCTGGGAATGATTCCTAGAGAGGGACTCCACTGGGACCTGTCTTAGTGGCTTGGATGGGGGAACGGGTGCCTTAGTTTTAAAAGGGGATTCTGGGTAACAAACGGTGGAATCTACTACAATGCCCTATGGTGTCTCCAGTTAAGACTGACATAATCCATCATCCTTCCTAATTTAATTCATTTGAATGGACCCACAAATCAATATGAATAATAAAAGGGAGAAGAGTACAAGAATATAAGAGTGAGATAGAGGTATTTTTTAAAAAAATTATCAAGATTTGAATAGAGGTTTCTTAAGAAATAAAGCAAACACTGTGGATAAAATTGCAATATTGAAAAAAGATGAGAATTTTATGCTCTGAAAATAATTTAGATACTCATTTTAGTAACTTGAACATTTGATAAAGGTGGAAGGCTACAATGTTATAATTCAAAGAGTGGGCTTGACGTTATGCATTTATTTACTTATTCATTTATTTATTTATTTACTTATTCATTCATTTATTTATTTATTCTAAATGGTGTGGTACATACGTACTTTATAAAAATGTGTGGTCTTAAATACGTCTTGTCAGATTGGGACAAGGAATTAGCTCTGGAGTCAAGTTCCACTGATTATTCTTCAATGTACACTTGCAGAATAGCTGGTAGAAAGGCAGAGTAATACTGAATAAACTTAATGGAAATTCTGAACTGAAACTCAAGATATTTAGAGTGTTGTTTTGCATGAAAATATTTATTAGAAATTTGCTGTACATATTAGAAAGACTAACAAGTCCAAGTATGTCACTATTGAAAATGACTGAGTTAGGGGAGAATTTGGTTTAATAAATATCACTGAAGTAAATCCAATTGACTTCATGGTCAAGGTTAAACACATTTCATAGGAGCTAGTAACTTTCATATCACCCATAATGCTATGTAAGTATATTATAAAGATAAAACATCTATCAAAAATGGAGCTTCTAAATAAATTAAAAAGCTTGGTATCCCTACCATAGTAAGTACCATAACCAGAAGGTTCGTTTTAGTGGATGATATTTAAATAAACAAAGTGAGGCCTGCGTGACTTGGATGGCTAAGCCTGTCTTTTTATATGTGACTAGAGAACTGGTGCATGAATTTGTGCATGGGTGGGGTCCGTCTGGCTCACCCCCGTCGGCCGTGATCTGGCCTGGGTGGGAGGGGACAGGGGAGGTTAGCCGATCAGACCCACCCCTGATCGGGGTGGGGGGTGCCAATAGGGGGCGGGGCTGGCTGGGGTGAGTTGGTCAGCCAGCTCCATCCCATGGTCAAACTCCAGGTCAAACTCCTGGTCGAGGGGACAATTTGCATATTAGTCTTTTATTATATAGGATAACTTCAGAGGCATTACTTGATTTTACTGCATTGACAAAAAGTGAAGAGGAGTCTTCAAATTTTGCTTTTTGAGATCATCTGCCTATTAGAGTAAAAACGGAGGTGGCTAATCAACATGGTATTTCTATCCAGCTGTGATCCTGAAGTCATTGTAGTCCACAGATCACTCAGATGACACCCCCAGAAAATAAGGAAGGGTCTGCCAGTAACAGACTGTCTCAGCTGTCATCTAAGGCAGTTTCAAACTGTGCTCAACTGAACATACAATTTTGTGTAAAAGATCAGAGAAATAAACTATTTTATAGTAAAAAGTTTTAACAGAATTTAATTATATTAAAAACCTCTGCAATAATGCAGTAGTTAACTAAGCAGAAAATGCTTTATTAACAGCATTGGTATCTTTTTTTTTGCGGGGGGGGGCAGGGGGGGGGAGATATTTGTCTGATTCATCTGCCACTCTGTAGTGTTAATGTTAATGCTTAAAAGTTATACCCTCCTTTCTCTTCTGAATAACCCTCATGCAATCACGCACTGGTAGGTCAGGTCTCAAGGCAATTAATCCAGAGAGGGCTCAAAGGCACACTACTCTTCCTGCTTAAGTCCCTGAACTCTGTTTGGCTTTCTTACTCTACTGGGCCGGCCTGGAGCCCCACTAAGGTCTCTTCAGGGGTTCTCCTTTGAAACTCACAGATCACCCTATGTGCTTCTCTTCTGAACCCTGTCCTACCCCTCTTATACCTAGAATCTTCAATTGGCCTTTCAAACAGAAGGTATTAACAAGTCCAGAGGCCTTCCCAAATCTCCCTTCGAAATAACATTTTCATTTCTTCTCCTAAAACATATGGAGCCATCCAGAATCCAATCAGTGTTTGAGGGAACTGGGAAAAAAGTGATAGGCAATTTCTTTTATACCTTGCAGTTTTGAAGCTTTCAATTTTTACAGCACATACGTATTTCTATTAATTATTCTAAATCCACTGAAAATGATAAGTTCTACATTACCCAAACCTAAATATTTTTCTCACGTCTCAATATGATAATTTGCTTTAATTTTTCTATTCTGTAGTTTATTATCACTCTCCATCATCCAGAGTCTAAGTTTAACATGGCTTGTAACAGTATGGGTTAACAGGGAGTAAAAAGTAAATTTTGTACTTCTCAAGGGCAAGAAGAGCATATATGTAAAGAGGACTACAACAGGTACTATTAACTGCCAACTTTATGGAAGGGATTACAGGTATTTGTCTATACAAATGAATGACATTAAACCAAAGTGGTAATGTCTAACAGACAAAAACCAGAATTCATATAATTTGATCAGGACCATTAATTTCTCTATTAGTATTTTTTAAATAAAGTGGGGACCCACTTATATAAAGAAAAATCAACATTCATTTTAGATATATTTTTACGTTATATATCTGATCACTTAAAATGAAGATTTACAGATAATCCTAAGAAGCGATATCTTTGATGGTAAATGTTTTGCTTTCAAATGTAATATTTTTGTATCATTTTTTCTGGTTCTCTTTGTGACAATGATGGCATAAAATTTGTTCACAATCTTGAAGGAATTATCAACTCAAGGTAAAAGAAAAAAGGAAAAATTAATTAGAGGAAAATGAGTTTAATTTAATATCACCTAAATATTTTGTATTTAACATAACCATTAACAAGTAAAATTAATTTATTTAGTGAGATATGAATAATGATGTTGGTAATTGTTTCTGATTTATATAGTCTTACCCATTTATTGCAAAGTAAATCAGGATAAAATGGATAATTTGGAAGAAAATGTTTAATTTTGGTTACACTGGCAAATGTTACAAAGATAATTCATATTTCATTCTTATAATATAAATTTATCAAATTCTAGAGTGAGAAAGGTTCTTAGAAATTATCTGGTCCAACTGTTTCACTTTATAAGATTAATGCCCAAATAGGTCAAGTTATTGACTGGCTTTTGGTTACATAGCTGATTAAAGATTGAACTGGAAATTGATCCAGAAAATCCCTGACTTTGGGTCCAGGACTTTTCACTGTATTACATTACAGTTATAATAAAATGCAATCCAAACTGAGTTTTATCTGTTTGAGCTCATAATAGCTATGGTTTTCCAGTGCTTCCCAAAGTGTTTATAGAAAAATAAACTGATGTTAATAAGCATGTGACATTTCAAATTGGATTTGTAGGCATAAATTGCATTTGGATCCATCCCTTTAGCAAATATAGATGGGATATAGCAGCCACAATCTTTCTCTGCTTCCCTAATTCCATCCATCTTTCTCTCTCCCTCTGTCAAATACTCTTTTATGTCTTAAGTAAGAGTAGGAGGAGGTGTTTTTTTTACTTCTCTGTTGGCTAAAGACACTGTGATGGTTCTATAGTATTTGGTTAAAAAGATTTCCCACTCCATTTAGTGGATTGCCATGTAGATATATAAAGTAAAAGAAGACATCACAAAGAAAATATTTGGTGAGGAAGAAACGAGTATGCTTGCGAATGTTTATCTAAGGCTAATATGCCTTTCTGACTATGGGTTGCATGTTTAGCTCTGTAGCCTGTGAGAAATTTAAAAATCTCCCCAAATTACCTTTTTTCGAGGAGTAGGACAGCCAGGTTACTTCATTAATTTATTGTATCATAAATATTCATAAGAATGCTTTAAATATCACTAGTCACTTTATGTAGCAACATAACTTTTGAGAAGTAATGTGGAAATGTTGACAATATTAATCGAGTAAATGAAATTGGCAAATAAACCAGACTTGCATAATATAGTATTACCAATTTATTACTGGGTTTTTAAAAATTATTATTATTTTCAGTTTGGCCTAATATAAAATAAGGAAAAATATGCTTAAATCAAATTGATTTTATCCCTATGTTTTCTTAGCATTACATGAATATGAACGTTTTTTACATTTGAACTTAAATTTCTAAAATTGTTATTACTCAAAAAATAAAAGTGTATTCACTTACGGCCCTGATGCTTTCAAAATGTCCACCTTCTTTCTCGAAATCGATAGGCTGTCCTTTCAGTGTCCAGTAGAAAGTGACATCCAAACTAGCATCATGGATTGCTTTACAGTTAAGAACAATGCTTTCTCCCACTGTTAACTCTGTTCTTTTAGGAGTAAGTTCTATTTTTGTAGGTTCTACAGAAATAAAAATATATTAATTAATATCACACATAGTATTTCCCTGCGTTCTATATTTTAAATAACAGAGAAAAACTTAGCAAGGAATCTACGCCATAAAGTTGTTCCAGATACAGATTTTTCTGAATCTTTATTTTTCCTTTGCTTAATCCCTTCACCCTTCTCACCCAGCCCCTAACCCCCTCCCTTCTGACAGCTGTCAGTCTGTTTTCTATGCCCATGAGTCTGTCTCCACCCTGCTTGTTAGTTTACTTTGTTCATTAGATTCCACATTTAAGTGAAATCATATGGTACTTGTCTTTCTCTGACTGGCTTATTCATGGACGTGGAGAGTATTATGCTAAGTGAGATAAAGTTAAATTACAAAATAAATAGGTACATTTTTACAGGGTTTAGGGCAATTTTGAACCAATAAAGGTTAATATGAGCTATGCATCCAAGGGCTATTTAAGATAGTGATCAATTTTGTAAGATATAAATGTTTAGTGACTGTGTTATACACCTAAAACTCATATAATATTGTATGTTGACTGTTATTGAAAAAGAAAAAATTATTCTAAAAAGACAGTGATCAAATAACTGCGATATAACTTGCTATTTTGAATAAAGTAGGGAAGTGATGGAGATAGGATTTTGATGTTGTCTTTATTTCCTGGAATCCCGATTGTAGATACCTGAAGAAGACTTGACACAAGTGATTAACAATTAGCCCAGTTTTCCTATTCCAACTCTATTGTTGACAATAGCACAATCTGATGAAGCACCATGCCTAATCAGGGGTGGTTAAGATCCTTTAATATGCAACATCCTTCTGAATAGTCACCCAGAGGAAAGTGGGTGTGATGCCAGGAAAGGAATGCCACGATGAATGTTGACATTTTAGAAGTCAGATATTCATGTGGCAATCTAATCTCTGGCTTCATCAGAGAGGAAAATCACATAATACTGTGGTTTAACCTCTGTAAGAATTAGAATATTCCCAGTAATTAATATTCCATTTAAGAATTTTTATTTTTTTTTGGAAAGTGCTAGAATATTTTTGTTGTTGTAAAAGAAAGTCCTTGGATACAGCATTGCCTCATTGTTTAGCACAGAGAAGGAATAAGACACAGACTGGAAATAGAAGCAGAGTTTGATTCCTGTAGTGTCTGCAATAAATGAAAACATCGTTTAAATCATGTTCCTTCTAGTGATGTTTGCCTGTTCCCTAAAATATTGGAGTGCTGTCTATTTCACTTTTCTATTTCTAAAGAATGAGATAAATTAACAGTTTTACCTTTTTATGGCCCAAATATGGCTTATTATAAAATACATGCGCAAATGGAAAAAAATCAATTAAGTGTAGCGTTCAACTTTAAAAATATTCCTCTGCTAACAAAGACACTACCTAAGATTTTCTTAGTATGAAGCAGTGACATGTAGTCTCGAAAGTTCTAGGCTTGACATCCAGTTTACTTTACAAGTAAACATTTGAGGCAATATTTGCAATGTTAAAAAATGACATTATGTAAAAAATTCCATTGATGCAAACGTCAAAGGGCAGCTCTGGTATGTCAGTTTCTCCGAGCTCACTCACATACCACACCCATGTCCTCCTCCTGCCTTTCTACCCCAAATCCTCGGTGGAAGTGGTAATAAGGGAATATTACTGATTATTTCTAAAATTAATCTTGGTAGAGAAAAAATATTTTTATACTGTTAGCATACTTTTAAATTTTGAGACACCGACTAAAATTTCACCAAGCTGTCTTCATCCTCTTACATATTGTGTTCAAAGAAAAAAATTTAAATTTCTACCAACAAGAATTCCATTTCTTTATGGTGCCCTAAATAATGGAAAGGGACCATGTGGCTATATTAGTTCTATTTTTACAACGTAGTTCATAAACAGGAGCATGCACACATACATCTACACATGCATATTATTTCTATTCACTATCTGATAAGGCCATGAAATTAGGCTTATGAAATATTTAGCCACATGTTCTTACCTTTTACAGATACTGAAGCTATGATTTCAGCAGAACCAAAGACATTTTCCCCTCGGCAAACGTACTTTCCCTCATCTGATTTAGAAGCATTTAGGATCCGCAGATTCCCGTCTGGAAGAATAGCTATTCTGAAAATCATTAAAAAAGGGTGTTTCCCCTTGTTTTATTGAAAATAAGCTAAGTAGTAAGAAACTCTCATGAAGTCTGAAATCACTTCCAAGGTAACAATAAATAAGGTAAAAGATCGCGGGGAAAATACACCGTGATGGTAGAAATGTTTTACCCTTCAAGAAATTATGCAGTAAACCCACTTAATATCTTCTCACATATAAAAGGGTTAGGAAGTTACAGGTTATTTTTCTTTTGATACTTTTTTGACAGTTAATTTTAAAACTTGTGGAAAAAGGTGACCTTGGATTGGGTTATTAAAACTTCTACTATAATATTATCCAGCAATATTTTAATATTAAGCTTGGGTATTTCACCCCAAACCATGAGCAACCTCAACAATTAAACATAAAAAGAAACAGCATAAAAACATAGAGGCGGGCAAGTACAGAAAGTAAAATTAATTGTGTACAGCCAGGAGATGATTTATGGGAGTTTCTCGGCAGTGCCACTCCTGCAGCAAGGGTATGTAAATGAGACCTGAAACCCATACCTGGCTGCTCATATTGCACTTTTTAAACATAAAAACATGATACCTGACTTTGCATGTGGGCTCTTTAGAGACCTTTGTTAAAAATGGACCTTGAGCCTTATATGAAGGTGAAAAATTACAGCATTATTAAAAAATTTTTAAAGTTCAGTGAAAATGAGGTTGACATTTAGAATTACCGTATTCTCCTGTGTAGTCATCATTCCAGAAATATACGGATTTAAATTTAATTAGTACTTTTGTCCTTTTCTCTCTTCTAAGCTCCTGAAATATATATTTCACTGGTGCATCAACCTACTCAAGCAACCTGAAACATAATAGAGGTGGCTGTTGTAGTTTTATTTGATATGCCACTAGAGTTTGGACTGACTTCTTTTAGGAAAGAGGAAATAGACTATATTGCTTTTGGTAAGAACCAGTGACTCCACTGAACTTAAAATCCTAAAATTGAATCCTCCTAGTCCAGAAAATAATAGTTTATGCCAAGCAATGTGATCATATTAAACTATTTAAGATACAAAAATGGCTGAGTCTGTTTAGTCAACATCTTTTATGTTATTTTAAAATGTGGGTTCAATCTTGCCAATTGCTCAGACCTGACACTTACTGAGATGATTGAGCTTTTTGTAACAACTGTATTAGATTCTAGGTTGCTGAATATTACAAATTTGCACTTAGATATTGTCGTCAATAAAGGTATCAGTTTTGAAACATCAACTTGTTTTAATATAGATCAAACTTGATTTACAACATGTAGAATGGAGACACATTCAGGAGCAAAGCAAACGAGGAATAGCTGATTTTATTTTGTAATTTATGTCTAGGAGGGATATTAACTTCAGACACTTGAAAAACAGTGATCTCAAAAGTTATGTAATCCATTCAAGATGGTCCATCAAAAATTCTGTTCATTTATTTAGACAGCGCTCGGTTTCTATAAAAATGGAATATAATGTATTCATTCCACTTTAATTCCCCAAATACAATGCTACAAAAAAGATACATTTGAAAGCAAAAGTAATATATATTTTTGTAAATAAATAGGCATTCTCTTGTGAGAATAACAATCTATTTAAATTTAGCCAATTGACTATAATCTCCATAGATTGTCACTATCTTGATTTACTGTCCTATGTAATTCCAACCCTACGAGGTTTGGCTTAAAAGTTCACCTCCTTTAAAGAAAGAAATGTATCTTAGAAAAGGCACTATTTCAGCTCTTGATTTAAGATAAGTCCTTTCTCACTGACAGCAGACAACATATTATATTCTCCTTTTAAAGATAGTTTATGAACACTCCTGTACTTTAGGCCACTGATACATTGGGGGATGAAGAATTTTAAATATTATGATGTTTTTTATCTGTCAAGTGGCAATGCCATTTAACCAAAAGCCTGTCTACTGATTCATATATCACATACTTATCAAATGAGCTCATTTTTTAACTTAAGAAATAAAAAATAGATGAGGCAATGAATGAGATCTACATTATAATGTCTTGCTTTTGCATACCTAATTACTAGAAAATTGAATATTGAATAAATATTTCCCGGCAGTTTTCTGCTTCTATCCTCTCCCCTCTGCCATTATTACCAGGTGGCTACTACATCTGGGATTTTCAGATTTGGGGGTTAATCCTGAAGAGGCATCCTTGAAGTTGGACTAGAGTAGTAAGAGAGTGGTGAGGTGAAGGTCTTTTGGGGGTAAAGAGAGCTCTTAGAAATGCAAACCAGCTTTCTACAGTCAGTATCAAGTCTTGCTTAGTATATTCTGGTCTCTTAATTTCTGCATTTGTTTCTGTCTAGACCTAGAGATACCTTGGCTCTCTTTATTGATTTTAGAGAGAGAACAAGGGAAGGAAGGTGGGTGGGAGGGAGGGAGGGAGAGAGAGAGAGAGAGAGAGATTCAAGTGAGAGAGAAACATTGATCGGTTGCCTACAGTATGTGCCCTGACTGAGACTAAGCTTGCATGCCCCCTACTAGGGATCGAGCTTGCAACCCAGTACACAAACTGGGAATCCAATCATGACCTTCTGGCTCATAGGTCGATGCTCAACCACTGAGCCATGCTGGCTGGCTGCATAGACTGTCTTTACCCCATTGTATATTCTTGCCTCCTTTGTCATATATTGATCATATAGGTGTGGGTTTATTTCTAGGCTCTTCATTCTGCTTCAGTGATCTATGTGTCTGTTTTTATGCCAGTAAAATGCTGTTTTGATTATTATGCTTTGGAGTATAGCTAGATACTAAGTAGTATGATACCTCCAACTTTGTTCTTTTTTCTCCAGATTGCATTGGGTATTCTGTCTTTTGTCATTCCATATAAATTTTGTGATTTTTTTTTTGCTTTAGGTCAGTGAAAAATCTTATTGGTATTTTGATAGGAATTGTTTTGAATCTATAGATTGCTTTTGGGTAATATGGACATTTCGATTATGCCAATTTTTTATATTCCTGAGCATGGAATATGTTTCCATTTATTTACATTTTCTTCAATTTCTTCAATGTCTTATATTCTGAGTATAGGTCTTTTACCTACTTAATTATATTTAGTCTTAGATATTTTATTCTTTTTTATTCAATTATAAATGGGATTGTTTTCTAAATTTTCTGAAAGTTCAATATTGGTGTATAAAATGTAACTGATTTCTGAATATTGATTTTCTATCCTACTACTTTATTGAATTCATTTATAAGTTCTAGTAGATTTTGGGGGAATCTTTTTTATTTAATTTAAATTCTTTATTGTTTACATAAGTCTCCTTTTCCCCCCATTGACCTCTCCCCCGGCTGCCCCCACCCCCCACACATGCCCTCACCTTCCCCCTCCCCCTTGTCTGTGTCAGTTGGTTATGCTCATATGCATGCATACAAGTCCTCTGGTGAATTTCTTACCCCACCACCCCTCGCCTTCCCTCAATCTTTAGGGTTCTGTAAATATAACATCATGTTAAATGCAAATAATGATATGATTTCCTTTCCAATGTGGGTGCCTTTTATTTATTTTTCTTGTCTGATTGCTGTGGCTAGGACTTCAAATACTATGTTGAATAAAAGTGATGAAAGTGGACATCTCTATCCTTTCCTGTTCCTGATTTTAAAGAAAAAGCTTTTAGCTTTTTCCCATTGAGTAAAATGTTTGCTGTGATTCTGTCACATATGAACTTTATTATGTTTAGGTATACCCCTCCAATCCTACTTTACTTAGAATTTTTATCATAAACAGATGTTGAATTTTGTGAAAAGCTTTTTCTGCATCTATTGATAAGATCATATAATTTTTATCCATCATTTTGTTTATGTGGTGTATCATATTAATTGATATATAGATATTAAACTAATTTTGCATTGCAGGAATAAATCCCACTTCATCATAGGGTATTATTTAATGTATTGTTTAATTGGGTTTGTTAATATTTTGTTGATAATTTTTGCATCTATGTTCTTCAGAGATATTGGCTTGCATTTTCTTCCTTATTTTCTTTTTTCTTTTTGTAGTGTCTTATCTTCTTTATCTGGGTTTGGTATCAGGATATTGCTGGCCTCAAAAAATGAGTCTAGGAACTTTTCCTACTTTTCAGTTTTTTTAAATAGTTTGAGAAGAATAGGTGTTAACTATTTGAATGTTTGGTAAATTGCCCTGTGAAGCCATCTAGTACAGGACCTTTGTTGGGAGTTTTTTGACTACTGATTTAATACTTTAAGTAGTTATCAGTGTGTTCAGATTTTGGTTCTTGCTGATTCAGTCTTGGAATATTGAGTATTTTTATACATTTATCCCTTTATTCCAGGTTGTCCAGTTTGTTGGCATACAATGCAATTTTTTCATCCTATTTTCTTATCAATCTTTGTATTTCTGTGCTGTCTGTTGTCATTTCTTTTTTATTCATGATTTTATTTATTTGGGCCCTCTCCTTGATGAGTCTGGCTAAAGGTTTAACAATATTTACTTTCTATATATAGGGGCTTCTAAATGAGGTGCATAGATGTTCATAAGAGTTATATCCTCTTGTTAGATTGATCCCTTTATATAATAAAATGGTCTTTTTTGTCTATTGTTATAGCATTTATTTTAAAGTCTATTTTGTCTGATATCAGTATTGCTGCTTCAGCTTTTTAAATTTTCTGGTTTCTATTTGCATAAAATATTATTTTTTTTTCCATTTCTTTACTTTCAATCTCTGTAGAATTTCATTTTTAGTCTCTTGTAGGCAATATACATACATATATACATATATATGTACATATGTGTACATATATGTACATATATACATACATGTATATAATATATATATATCTTGATTTTGTAGTCATTTAGCCACCCTATGTCTTTTAATAGCCCATTTGCACTTAAATATATTATTGATAGGTATGTAGTTATTGCTATTGTATTATTTTCTGAAAGTTTTTATAGTTCTCTGTTTATTTTTTATTTTCTTGCTCTCTTCTCTTGTATGTTGTTGACTA